TATATATATATATATATATATATATAGAAGCGTAAAATTTATTTTTGTTTTTTATTTGTATGTTATTGGGACGAGAACCAAAAAATGCGTCGTTCTAGGGGTACCGTATTTAACGCTCATAATTAATTTCACTTTCCCTTTTCATCAACATGATTAAAAGATTATCATATTTCTAAGCAAAGCAAATTTTACATACAAATACTTTTTTTTTTACAACAATAATGCCACACAGCAAGAAGCTCACTCATGATGAGGAAAATGAGAACGAGATCCCTCCGCGTGACAAGGCTGAAATCCTTGGCAGCGAGTATGAAGATGCTCAGCATCATCGCTCTGGCAACAAAAAGCAAATTGACACTCCAAGCTACCAGAGTAAGCCCAAATCAGTCCGGTGAAAACTTGTGGCCTAAGGTACTTGCTCGGAGGCCATTATTTATAAATTATTTTAATATATTTATTTGGCGAGTACTATTTAATCTTTAAGGACAAGAAAAGTGCAGTTTTATTTTTTTAAAAGAAATACAAGAAGGTCAAATATGAGTACTGCAGTTTTGGAAAAAAAAGTCAAAGGTGTTATAATTTGATGAAAAATGAATCTTAGTCTAGTATGTTATTGTCGTCGATAGTCTACAGGAGTTTTTTTGTTGTTTGTGTCTCTTTTCCAATCCAGTATATTGATCCTTTATTGTTCTCTTTGTTTCCATCTAAATGGATATCTCAGGATTTCTCTTTTTCTTCTTAGTACATTTTAAGAATCTGATGCACTTTGCTAAGGTTGATGAATCAACAGAGCTTATCAGTGAATTAAAAGCACTCATTGCTAGCGGTGGTCAGGTTGGGCCGTTAGATGAACGCAGGGTTCGAGCTGTAGTGGATTCAATTAAGGAATCCTATGAACATGTTTGCTCAATCGGAACTAATCCTTATGCTGATGTAGCACAGGCGTATTACGCAAGTTCGATGAGTTATTACAAGGCTAAGTATCTACGCGACAAGCGTTGCCTGCTCGCTTATTTGCTGTGGCGTCAACAACAAATCACTAATGCGTGGTGGTCCGCACAGGATAATGCTTTGCTGCCTTGCTTATCACCAGCCGAAGTTCACTTCCTCGAAGAATACGACAATGTGATGGTTGAATATATGACTTCTTTTGCGGTCCCGCTTGATCTGCGTGCCTTTATATGGAGGCCGCCTTCAACGCAACAATTGGAAGTACGCGGGCTTGCAAACCACGTGTTTGTTTCTCCGGTAAGCGGAAATACAATTAGCATTTACCCCGGTAAACAAGTGCTTCTGAGCTTCGAGGATGCTGAGGCACTTCTTCAACAAAAAGCTGTAGAGATCGTCCGAACTTGAGTATGCTCCCTCAAGCTGATTTGTAGCTTGTCAATGGATTAGCAAAGATAGCATAAAAAATAATATATCCACTCTTTCATTCGTGCACACAATTATTGCGTGTGCGCAATTCAAATGATGCCTTCCCGATCATTGGTATATGTACGCTTCTGAATACTCTATAGAGAAAGGCAATGATGTCATTTAATGGGTATTACTTGATGTTCTCTAAGGTGTCCCTGATGATTCTTCTCTCTTTCTTTTTTTAAAAACTACAAATATGTTTTTAATAAATATTAGTAAATATGTGAATGCCGTCACCAAAAGTTAGTTCATCAGCTGTATTGAAGGAGCAAGAGCTAGAAAGTGATTTTTTCAAACTTCTCCGCATTATTTGTGAAAAGCATACCTCTTCGAAAGTGGATATTGGGGTATCAGATTGGAAACTAACGGAAAACTGCCTAGACGAAATAAATTATCGCTATGCCGACTTTTACTTTCTAGTAGCCTTCGCCTCCACTTATCCATTTCGAAATAAATGCTCCAGATCCTTTTTCGCTCGCAATCGTTTGCCGCTTTATTTTGGTTTAGTTGGATACGACATTGGCCTACGCTCGACATCTCCTTACCCTGCAATCAGCTTTTGGAATTCGATATGTGTGATAAATAGCGATATGGGCCGTGCTGCCCGCATGATTCGTTGCCCTGATTCCTTTTATGAGGTAGTATGGGATGAAAACCACACGATCCGCAACCAAAATTTTATGGTATGGGTTTCCGAAAAGTTACGGCCTGTGATATGCCCTCTTCTTTTACAAGACGTCTTTACTAGCGTATTTGAGGCCTCTTCGTGGAAGGAAGAAAGGAATGATGGAATCATAGTTACATCCTTAGTTATAAACAATCGTTTTTTTAGATGGGACCCGTTTAAAATTTTGACCACGACGAAATCTGGCAAGATTATCTATCAAGTTCAACTCGCCCTGAGTCCTTCATTTGGTGTGTCGAGAAACATGCGCCGTTCTTATCACTGCCGGGATATTATTATGGAGCGGTCAACATTAGCGGGGCGTGTCTGGTATGGTGCTCATTTTCTCATAATGTACATGTTCGGCTTGGAAAGGCCATAGAAAGAGCGCTACGTTTAACAATTTCGATTTACTCTTTTTAACCTGAGCTTCTGTAAATGTCTATCTGAAAGAACAACTGTGAATAGCAGGAAGAGGAGCTTCCTTGCGTATACAGGTATGCACCTAAGGCGCCGGTTATTGGGAATGTGAACTGTCTGGAAAAGGCCTATTTGCAACAGTACCCGTGAATGGTTAATTTTCGACTTTTCTATCACCTTACCTCCCTCGTAGACACAGACCCGTACATAAAACCAAATAACTTTATAGATTAGTTTAACATAGAATTCGAGACAAGGAACGTACCAAAAATGTTTAAAATGCTGTATCGCTCTTCTTATGGGAGAGAATTGTCTACTATTCTCACCCAGCGACGTTTTAAGATGACAGGATTTAGCATTTTTGTGCGGGAAACCCAAAAGGAACATCATATATTAAAGGCTAAAACTCTCCCTGAAGGTTCGAAGAAAAACATGAAGATTATGTCATCGCTTTGGCGTAAGCTTTCCAAGAGAAAACGAATGAAGTACAACCAGCGAGCGTCTGTTGAACAGCTTTTAAATATTAAGGATTTATCGAAGAAAAACAGTAGCTTCAATATGGTTATGCAGGTGCTCGCACAGGATAAAGCTCTTCTGAACGTAGGTGATGAACACTTTGTAGCAAGGCTTGCATCCCGCACAGCGCGTGCACTTTCAGCAAATGATCTTGTAAAGCTAATGAAGAAGTTGAATGTCGAATGGACAAAGCCAATCCAACAAAAACTTTCAGGAAAGCACGCTGCCAAATTTCAACGAATGATGTTTCCAAGCATGAGAAACTTTTCGTCATTTACTGAAATGCAACACGCAGTGGCGCCAACTCGTCAAATCTTGTATGTTGCTGTTTGTCGCATCCTTGCAGGCTATCACATCTCCTGGAGCGGGGATCTGAATCTGAAAGAGAAGTTCAATTCCCTTGATAGTAAGGTTAAGTCGTTGTTCAACCCCATCTCTGAGGAGGAATCACCTTTCTTTGAGACCTTTTGTGCGAGAAATTGTGCAGGTTTTGATGAGGAGCACTTCAACATTATCATTCTCTTTGCACAATTTCGTCAAATTATTGCGAAAGTCGTAACAGCCTCAGATATTGATATTGCGATTTATCGCAGCATGTTGGCGGACGAAAGATGCCACGAACCGGTCTACTTCAAAGTTCGACGTGTTCTCCCTTGTGCAAGGGATTGCAGAAGTTCTGACTGCGGTACTTTTATTTGCAGCAGAGCACCTGAGAGCCTTGTTGTAGATCCTCAATCCTATGGTATCCACAAAAATTTTGACGATGTGGATGTGGCTACGCAACTTGCGGAGACCCGCCTAAGTCAATCTGTCTATGATGATATTTTAGATAGGGCAGCAGTGCTTCGACCTAAGGAGAATGAAAAAAAATTAAAGATATATATTGTGAAAAATATGCGCAAAGAGTTAGCGGCTAATGACTCCTCAACAATGGAAAAAATTGCTAAGCAAGGCGTGCTGTTAGCTTCGAAGCTCTTGCAGTTAGGTATGGGATTGTCAAAAATACCCCTTGTGTCGCGATGCACTTCTGAGCAATCAGGACTTACTGCTATGCAGGAAGCCCCTCAGCTGACAGGTAAATCAAATGCGGAAAAACCAGATATTGATTCTCCTTCCTTGATTAGCGATGGAAATCATATAATTAAGGCATCTACCGTGAAGCAGCGTAAGACAAGAAGATCCTTGAAGAAGTATCATAAAGTATTCGAAGAAGAAAGTCATGAGCAATTAAATGAATCTGTTTCTAATAATCAGAAATCGAACGAGAAAAGACGGCAAGATGCGGAATTCGAAGAGTATAGTGATGACTTTTCTACCGATGACTACATGCACATGCTGGATGATGAAGTCGCAACTTGGGATAGCCTTGATTTACCTTCCCAAAATATGGGTCAGGAGGTTACTGTGTCTCTTAAGGAAACCGCTTTCAGCATATCCGAAGAAGGAAGCATGGAGAAGGACCTTCCTAAGAAATCGTGTGCGCGCAGAATTTTAAGGAGTGCTAGGGTCCAGGACGACGTTATGTTGGACCCCAAGCATTCTATTATTTTCAAGCATAAGCACAAACCAAGCAAGGAGAAAATTGTGGGTACGCACCATCAACTCTTCCCTAGTCTTGAGAAAGGTACTATTGTAAAGCTACTTAAAAAAACAGCTTGCTAACCTTTATCATTAGCTGATCTTTATGTTATAGAATATACCTTTTAATTTTTTGCCTGATTGTATTTTTAACATAGAAATTATACTGCTGATGGCATCAGTTATGCAACAACTTAATGTAAGTTTCCCAAGAAATGGGACGTCCGTTGGAAAAGGAATTACCTAAACTGCACACTACACCATTTGATGATACCTTTACAATGAATATTTCGTCGTTTCTTTTATTCGAAGCTTTATAAAAATGGAAAGGATAAGAAAGTATATGCTGTTTCCATTGTTTTAACATACCACTAGTCATGCTACCAGAAAAATCCATAGAAAGCTATTCATGGATAGTCTCGTTACTGTGTCCACACATTACGACAATTCGTGCTGATATGTTCTGAAGACTTTGGCAGGAGAGTTTAAAGCGAATGAAGTGCATAAAGCACAATTTGTCAGAAAAACTACTCTTACATAAGCTCCAATCATTGATGCAATAAAGTACCTATTCATGAATGTACTCAAAAGAGAATATACCCAGTCGTGGCCTCGAGCCGGGCAAAAAAGAAAAATATTATCAATCTGCTCAGTGAATCAATAATGAATCGTTCCTAAGCTGAGTAGAAAGGAATAATAAAGTTCACTTTATTTATACAACGAAGAGTTCATACATGCGTTCCCATATTGCAAAAGCTCTCAGAGAAGATGAGCAAAAAATAATACATAGCAGGGTGAAAACAAAAAACCTATATCATAGGTATAGTGCTCGTATTCAAAACATAGATAATAACTACTGTACAATGCTTAATAAATTCATAATCTTTACATAAAATGAAGTCTTTACAATAAACATTGGCATTGAGAAGTTCTACCGCCAGGGTGACATGGAGAAGGAGAAGGGGGTGGAGGTGCTTCCCATGTTCGATCGCACTCTAAACACTGAGCTAGCCAAGGGGCAAATCGGCTTCATCGACTTTGTATCGGCCAATTTCTTCAAAACCATTGTGTCAATGTTGTGTCATGACATGCAATGGTGTGTGGATCGTATTAACAGCAACCGTGAGACGTGGAAAGCTCTTCTTGAAGCAAAGTGACCCGAGACAATGTATCGTGCATCGTCACCAAAAGAATAGCTTATGGACGTTTGAGACACTGTTGCACCTAAGCGTGTGTCACAACTCATTCATTTATATGTCATCACACAACTTTTATTAATATGTACTATATCTTTATGTAAACCGGGTGTTTCGTTTTTAGCTTCTAAAGTATGAAGTCGTTTAAGCGGTATTATTGTTTATTTAACTGAATGAAGCGTTTCCTAAATTGATAGAGCCACAAAAACGGTGTAGTATTGGAAGAGTCTCTTTACTGAAACGAAGCTCCCCACATTTCAACCCTTTTGAATTTCCTTTGCTGAGGGTTTGCTTCTCACGCTAGTGTAAAGTCTCATTGACACAAATTTTTCTAAAGGGTATCAAAATGAATTCCGACAAGCGAAACGCTGGAATCCCTGGAAGTAACCACTTGGTTGATACATTGAAGCTATGTGAAAACATTCTTGATCGATACCAACGAAGCAAAATACAGCTGAATGAAATAGAAGAAAGTGCCTTTGGGCGAGTCCAAAGCAAAATGAGAGCAATGCAGTGCGCATTGACCTTACCAACTCCGAAACAAAATGCAGCCGCAGAAGTGCTTAACGTTTTCCCAAGGACCCTTGAGTCTACATCGATGTTGTCTGATACGCTCCAATTCATTGAAAAAGTTTTCGATGCTTCTGTGACCATGGAGGAGACCCTAAAGGTAATAAATGGCGAAATTTCCACGAGGTTTGGTGTGAAGTCGCGGACTTATTATGTCAATGCTGATGATGCACTACTCTGTGACCCGATTAGCCACAGTGCCGCCCCACTGGATGATACCACCGCGGTGGGCAAGAGTGTTAGCATAATGCGTCCATATGAACTTGCTAATGCCATGTACATACCGCTGGTTGTCGATGGTGCTTTGGTTGGTTGCATTGAATCCCCTGGGTGCAGTCTGAAGAGTATCGATATTTCATCCATGACATTCATGCTACGCATCGTTGCAGTTGCGCTCCGAAACGCTATCCAAGCAAGTCGACTACATTGGGAAACTCAAAAGGCTGAGGCAATGGTGACCATGGCGACGCGCCTCGCTCGAGACATGCTAGATGAAACTGTGTTGGTGCAATCGATCATGAGCACAGCGAAGGAGTTGACCGAGAGTGACCGCTGTAGTGTATTTTTAGTCAAGGAAAACGGCACGCTTGAGGCACACTTTGAGGATGGGAGTATTGTGGGAATGCCAGCCAACGCTGGTATCGCTGGATATGTTGCACACACTGGGAACATTGTCAACATACCGAATGCGTACGAAGATAGTCGTTTTAATCCCGAGGTTGACAAATCGACTGGTTATCACACCAAGACAATTCTGTGCCTGCCGATCATGCATGAAGGCTCTATTGTGGCGGTGGCACAGCTCATTAATAAGTTGGATTTTGTCACGGACAGCGGGCTGCATCTACAGCGCACCTTTGGGCAGCGCGACGAAGAGTTGTTTGAAACGTTTTCTATGTTTGCGGCTGCCTCGCTGCGCAACTGTCGCACCAATGAGGACTTGTTGAACGAGAAGAAGAAAACTGACGCCATCCTCGATGTGGTGACGCTTCTTTCGAACACAGACATTCGTGATGTGGACAGCATTGTGCGACACGTTCTGCGCGGTGCGAAGAAGTTGCTCAGTGCGGACCGTTCCTCCCTGTTTCTACTTGACAAGGAGCATAATGAGCTATACAGTCGTATCGCGGACAGCGTGAGTGGCGGTGAGATTCGCTTTTCAACGGGACAGGGTATCGCAGGTAAGGTAGCAGCGACGGGTGTAGGTGAGAATATTGTGGATGCATATCGCGATAATCGCTTTAACCGCGCTGTAGACAAGAGGCTCGGGTACCGCACGCGATCCATACTTTGCGAGCCCATCATTCTCAATGGCGAGGTGCTTGCCGTGGTGCAGTTAGTCAACAAGCTGACTGAGGACGGGCAGGTTACGTCCTTTTTCGAGGAAGACCGGAATACCTTCAAGATATTTTCTCTCTTCGCGGGTATTTCTATTAACAACTCACATTTGCTGGAGTTTGCCGTCAATGCGGGTCGGGAGGCTGTGAAATTAAATGCATTACGCTCTGGCATGCCAATCATGGTCGACAAGGTCAGCTTGCTCTCCATCACTAATGAAGAGCGCGCGCTTGTATTGGAGGAGGTAGTTGTGCATAATTACGACCTTGCCTCAATCGATTTTAACCTCTTTGCAGTGCGCGAGGTGGCCACAAACCCCCTAAACGCGGCTGCTTTTGTTGCGTACAGACTCATTCTGAGTACTGGCTTGACACAGAAATTTAATTGCCGCGACGAGACTCTGCTGAACTTCATCTTGCAGTGTCGCAGGAAATACCGCAACGTTCCCTACCATAACTTCTTCCATGTTGTGGATGCATGTCAGACAATGCACACATACTTGTATGCAGGTCGCTCGTGTGACTTTCTGACGGAGTTGGAGTGCTTCGTGCTCCTTATTACCACATTGGTTCATGACCTCGACCACATGGGCCTTAACAATAGTTTTTATCTGAAAACAGACTCACCACTTGGTATTCTGTCAAGTGCCAGCGGCAACACATCGGTGTTAGAGGTGCACCACTGTAATCTCGCCGTGGAGATTCTCTCCAATTCTGAGTGTGACGTGTTTGAAGGTCTGCAGCAGAATGAGTTGAACCTCGCGTATCGCTCCATGATCGACTGCGTGTTGGCAACTGATATGGCGAAGCACGGAGAGGAGGTGAGTCAATTCGTGAAGCTGTTGTCAAACGGTTTTAACCGTGATGATGAGCGCCACCGTCGGAAGCTAATGGAAATGCTAATGAAGGCTGCCGATATATCGAACGTTACAAAACCTTTTGAGATCTCGCGGTTGTGGGCGATGACGGTGACGGAGGAGTTCTACCGCCAGGGTGACGTGGAGAAGGAGAAGGGGGTGGAGGTGCTTCCCATGTTCGATCGCACTCTAAGCACTGAGCTAGCCAAGGGGCAAATCGGCTTCATCGACTTTGTATCGGCCAATTTCTTCAAAACCATTGTGTCAATGTTGTGTCATGACATGCAATGGTGTGTGGATCGTATTAACAGCAACTGTGAGATTTACAAAAATCTTTGAATACACACTCATTTATTTATTTTTGATTTGATTTTAATTTAAATTAGGCTTTCCTATTAATTTATACTCTTTTTCGTAATTCATACGCACTTACTCTTTCGACCATATTGCAACTTTATAATTAATTTTTTTAGTTTTAATCTTTCTCTCTTTTTTTTTGTTATGTGGTGTTGACAATCAGGTTAAAAAACTTTATCTTTATTCTACTATAGTCAATTATTACCTATTTTGCACTTCTTGTGTTTATTGAATTTTTTGTTGGTATGAATATTTGCTCCTTTTTTGAATCTTTTTATCTGTATAGTAACAATTTTTATTTACACATTTTTTAACTTGAATATTTGTTCGCAATTTATTTGTAGATGATATTCGAATAATTTGATTCTCCTTCAAATTATTTAAAGACAAAAGAAACTTTAACGCTTAACAAAACATCGGTTTAGTGTAGTATTATTGGGACGATATATTAGCCGTTATACTTTATCATAAATGGGCAACTTATTGTAGCATCCCTTATTACCATTTTGTCTGATTTTTACTACTTGTGCTCTATTTTCCGTGCCTATTTCTTGTTTATACTAAAATGTTCACTGTTAAGGAGTTTAGATTTCGAAATATTAAAATTTACGCATAAAAATCCTTCCAAGCATTAATATTTTTTCCTAAAGAGAAATGACTGGTGAAATCAGCGAGAAGGCGTTTCCTCTAGCGGAAGATCGCCTTAGCCAAACGATCCTCGATCTCGTCCAGGAGGCAAGCAAGCTTAAGATGCTTAAAAAGGGTGCAAACGAAGCTACAAAGGCACTGAATCGTGGCATAGCTGATCTAATTGTGCTCGCAGGTGACACTAACCCAATCGAAATTTTGCTGCATCTCCCACTCCTATGCGAAGACAAAAATGTGCCCTATGTATTTGTACCATCAAAGACCGCATTGGGTCGCGCTGCTCAGGTGTCGCGCAATGTCGTGGCTTTGGCAATTCTTCAGAATGACAACAGCCCATTTGCTTCTTCGGTTCAACAAGTAAAACTGGAGATTGAAAGGCTTTTATAAAAATGATACCAATGCTAATGTTTTTTTTCTTGTATCTAATCATAATATAATTTTGTATCTTCTTGAGCATTGTACGAACATTTTGGTGAATAAATTATACAGCCTTCGAAATAACTCTATCTAGGTGAAAGTACAGGCCCACATTAATACAATCTTTGTAATAAAGTGCATAATATTTATTTTCCGATGTTGGCTCACCGCCACTGTGTCCCCCTCTACCACTTATGAGAGGTTAAAAAATAATCTTAAATAGAACTTACCCCTGAGAATTAAGTTTGCTTTTTCTTCCTTTCTGTGTTCTTTCTTTAAAGTGCTAGTATTAATTGAAGTCATCTTCATTTCAGAAAAATCAGCGACACTATCCTTCAAAAACGAAACGTCAAGTGTAATATTTTTGCACGTAAGTGTGAGTTTTTCTTTAACAAAGTGTAGCATAACCATTAAAGCTGCATATTGGCATATTATAATATGTCGTGTGAAGCATCATGTAGGGGGTTTAAAACTTTACGCACTGAATGTGCGCGTGACCCATGCCTAGCAAAGGGTATGTGCAAAGTTTTGGATCCCTCTATTACTGATTGCGCTAGTTGGTGCTGTAGAAATCGTAGTATTTATGCCTTCTTCATAATCCTTTTTGTCTGCATTGGGATATTTACTTTATTTACAGAGTTTTACTTGAATCGGTTGCACCAAAAGAATATGAATGCCGGTGCTGTTATGGAGACTGGAGAGGTGATAGAAATGGAGAGACAACCCCCGGAAGAAGGGCCAGTGGCACCTTATCGTGGAAAACGCAATGCAAAAGTAGACCCTCAGGCTTTAAAAA